GTCCCCGCCAGTCTCTCAGACGTCACTGTTGCTGCGCTTCCCCTCGGACTTCCAGGCTTTCCCTCCCAGCGCCGCGCGGTGCAGGCTCGGAGCCGAGGGTCCCGTCTGCGCCCAGCGCCCTCTGCAGTTCGTGCGCGCGCGGTAGCTGCGCGGTGCTCACTTTGGAGCGATCGCACCTCTATTTATGAGCGCATCCTTTCCGTTCCGTCAGTCGCGCTAGTTTTTGGTACGTGTCCCTTCCTCTTTAGGGTTCTTGCTACAGATGTTTGTCTCAGTGTACTCCAGGTTTTAAACAGCACTTCCTTTCTGGACTCTTCCTCAAAACCTTCCTGAAAAAGTAGTCCACATGTATGACGTTATCATGCTTCCTTTTTCTCACATGCCATTGAAGGTCAGACCACACTCACTTTTGCAACTGATTTTAGGGAATTAAAAGGAAACACGTGACATACCTATCAATTGTAAGACACACTCTAGTCTCAGAAATACCAAAATGTGGGAAAAAAGAACTGTGTAAAATTTCTCAACCCAGTATAACCGACTTACGTGGTCACTGTGGCGTTTGATACCTGCCTTTAATTCTATTGGAGCATCTCTGATGTTGGTGTCCTGATTTCCTCTCTCACAACTGGTCGTTTACTTCTTTTTACTGGCTTCTGCTATGTTCTAGTTTTTGTTTTTTTTTTTTTCCGGTAGCGGGAATGGAACTCACGACCTTGCGCTTACCAGGCAGGCTCTGTGCTGCTGAGCTAAATCCCCAGCCCCCAAGTTCTAATTTTTGACCTTGTGTTTTTCCTCACTTTACAAGTTTTCCCTGAACAAATTTATACATTGATGTTAACGGTTAGCATCTGTAGAGTGACTTTCAGGTCTTCATTTGACCTTTTCTTTGAGCTCACTTAAACTCAGTGTGTCATGAAGTCATCATTTTCTCACCCTTAATCTGTCAGGCCCTGACAGTGCCTCCTGATTTATAAGTCTTAGTGTTTGTTTTTGTTTTTTTGAGACAAGCTCTCACTATGTAGCTCAGGCTGGCGTGGAACTTGTGGCGATCCTCCTGCCTCAGCCTCCCAAGTGCTGGGATTACACACCTGCGCCACCAGCCTAGTTGGAATGTTAGTCTTTTTGGTTTGACATTCATTTCTGCCCTCTTCATTCTATCATTTCTCAAGTTTATCATTTTTTTTCCAGTAGTAGCATCAGTGATTATATGCTGCGTAACAGGTTGCCTCAAAGTAAAAGTAGCTTACAACAAATGTTTATTATGTCATACTATTTATGAAAGTAAGAAATCCGAGCATGGCTCAACTGTGCAGTTGTAGGTCAGCATCGCCCACAAGATGGCAGTCAAATAAAGGATCACTGGAGCTGTGGAAGATCTGTCAAACTTACAAACACATGGTTATTGGCATGTCTCAGTTCCTTGAGATTCCATAGGGCAGCTCGAAGCATGGTAGCTGGCTTTTCTATGGCCAGGACAGGAGTTTCTAAGATAGGCCCTGCTGTCTTTTGTACCCTAATCTCAGAAATGACATAATATTATACAGTAGACTATCATTCTGGTACAGTGTGGTAGGAACTGTAAAAAAGTGTGAATGACAAGAGGAGGAAATCACAGGGGCCATCTCAAAGGCTGGCTGTCATAATAGTTTTCACATTCTTTGTGGTACTGGGAATTGAACTCAGGACCTTGTGCTTGCCAGGCAGGCGCTGTCCCCCTGAGCTATATCCCCAGCCCTGTCATAATAGTTTTGTGTAGTTTTGTCCTCAGAATTTCTTTTTTATTCTGTCACTATAGGTCAGGCTGAAGGTGCTACATTTCATGGTGGAGGTGTTTATGTATGGTATCAACTAACATGCTCCCATTACATCTTCAGAGGTTACTTTTCCTTAGGTGTTACTTTTGTTATATGGTTATGCCTCTACTTAAACATTGGCTTACTTTGTATTAACTACATAGTAAGTTACTTCACACTTACCCTGTGCTAAGTGCTTTATCTGTATTTCAATCCTGTAAGTTTCATGGATGATGAAACTGAAGCTCAGCAGAGAGGTTAAATATTGTCCAGGGTCACCTAAACAGTTCAATGCAAAGGCTGGAATTTATACCCACATGGTCTACTTTAAAGCAAAGTTAGCTTTTATTCAGGTTCTCATAGTCTATTAACAGTTTTCATAATAGGGTCACTGCCTCATTTCTTAACTTTGTAGTAAACTTCATTATCTTCTAGATAAATTGGACTACTGTTGTTACCATACTTCCTTACTTTTTGGTGTTTGCTGTATTCTTTGGAAAAATGCCATTTCTGTCGTTTCTGCTTGCTGAAATCATAGTCATTCATCAAGGCCCACCTCAAGTCCCACCTTCTCCCTAATTATCACAGTTGTGAGCTTTCTTCTGTATGCCTGTGGAATTTTATTTCTATCACTTACAACTTCATGTCTTGTATTAGATTTATTTGTGTCTACAGTTTTATTCTCTTATAATATAAACATTGTAAAGTTAGGGACTCTGTCTTTACCCCACTTGAAAGGAAGAAAAGAAAGGGGATGGAAAGAAAAGAAAACTCTTTATCATTGGCTCTATGTTGGAACACTCCTTCAGCACTTATCCAGGCTGTTTACATCTCTACTTTAATATTTTTTTATTTAAAAAAATTTTTTTTATTAGTATATGTTTGTACTACATAATGATTACATTCCTTGTGGGGAGTTGGTTCATATACATAACATACCTGAATTCTCTTTCTGCCTTAACATTTATTTCCTGTTTGGATTGAGCCTGAACGTCAACCAGAGGTGAAAGCTTGGAGTGTTCTTGAGCCCTTTGTGAGTATACCAGGCATGCCTGTGACCTTCCTTTAAATAAAATTTTTGCCTTCCTATGTCCTTTCCCAACCTGTTCCTACCTAGGCATTTTATCCTGTGTGTATCTTGTCCTGACTGTTGTCCTTGTTCTGTGCTGCTGTGCCCCAAACTTACTCCTTTTTGGCAAATACTGCCTGGGAAGCTGCCCCATTTGTGGGAATAATCTAGGTTGTATGAAGGAGAGGCAAGCCTTTGCTCTAGTTCTTTAGAGAACTGCAAGACCAGTCCAAATAGACAACCACAATGTTTGAGAATGAGGTCAGTGTTCTTTTCAGCAGTGTCAACTCTCTGAAAGTGTGAGGTGCTATTTGCATGACTGCTGCCAACCTGGAGTTCAAGGGATGGTAGGTAGGTAATTTTAAGTCATAGCATCCTTTTAGTGGAGAGTGGCAGCTTCTTTCTTCACTAGCCTTTCCCTGGTTTTTATAAGTTTTTGACTAGATTTCCAGAGTTTCCTCATTTTCTACTGAGAATATGATTCTTGCCCTCTTTGCTTTAGTTACTTTGAGGCTTGGCTGAAAAATAAATTAAAAAGTGATATTTAGAATTAACTTTTCCATCCTCTATGTGCTTGTGTATATTCATACTAACATCTACTATTACACCTGTTTCTCTATACTACTGTATATGTATAGTTGTAGTTTTACTGTTCTTTTTGGTTTTGGTTTTTTGAGACAGGATCTCACTATGTACTTTAGGCTGTTTTGAACTTACTGTATAGCCCAAGCTGGCCTTAACCTGTGATTCCCTGGCTGCCTCCTAAGTGCTGGGCTTTGGGGGATGTTCCACTACATCCATCTGTGGTCTATAGCTTTTTTTTGTTTTAATTTTAGCTTATCCCCTGATTGTACTTTGTTTGTTTATTTTTTTTCTGGACAGAGCTCCTTTTTTTTTTTTAACAGTAAAGTAATTTTATTGAATGATGAAAAACTAAAGTGGTAAATATAGATAGTAAACAATGATTATTAAGTTCTACTGGAATTCTACATTTTTTCTCACTTTCAAGCCAAAAAACATAAAATTATACACTGTTAGCTAGTTGCGTGTTGTTCCTTCAACAAAACTATGTAGTTTAGCAGCTGCACAACATTAAATAACTACATTTTTGAAAAACCCTGAAAGTTTAATTTTTATGTTGACTTCAAAGGCTAATGTAACTGATTTATTTTTGTATTCCATTTGTACTTTATATTTGTATTTTCTGTGCCTGAGCTATTATTACAAGTCTGTTATTTGCTTTTCACCCCTGGGATAGGTATATTTATTTGTGGAGGTTGAGAACTTCAAGGCCTTCTGGAGCCCTATTCATTGTGATGATCTGGTATACTTGTATATTTATTATGATACTCTTCCAAAGAATGGCAATAAAACGTCTTTCCTAACAAGTTGAGTATGTTTTGACAGTTTTCCAATAGAAGGAGGTAAGGTAGCTGGAGAAAGGAAGTCTTTTCTCTCCTGTATGTGGCTGTATTGTGACTATGGCCTTTGGCTTTCAATGAGCCTGTATTTGGATCCTGCCTCTGTCAGTTAGAGATGTGTGACAGCAGGTCATCTCTCCAAATGTCTTTGCCTATAAAATAGGATTAATACTACTCATTTCGGCTTGAGATACCATCCAGAATCTGGATGAGGTAATATATATGACTCATTTGTCACAGTGTCTGACACCTACTGAGTCTTCAGTGAACTATAGTTAAATCGATCATGCTCATTTCCATTATAGATGGTTTCAGGATAGTAGCATGCAGTAACAGAATTATGTCTGAGATGGTTTGCAGTTAGGGAAGAGATTTAATTGAAAGACTAGCTTAGTATTTTTTTTTAACTAATTGCTTTTAATTTAAGGAATGCTGTATTTTATTCAGACTTCTTAGGAAAGATAGTAAAGCTAGTATTGAGCCAATAGGGAAAAGATTTGGGTAGAGGGAGGGAATGAAGGATAGGCTTGAATCCGTAGACTCTGAAGGGATCTTGGTAATGTACTTGTTAGTGTGCTGCCTGTTGGACTAAATGAGTGGCAGGTTGATGAATTACTGTGCCTCTGTTGCTGCTGCTGCTGCTGCTGCTGCCGCCGCCGCCGCCGCCACCACCGTCGGCACTCCTTCTCCTTCTCGTCTTCCTGGTTGGGCATTGAACCCGAGGCTTTGCTCATGCTAAGATGGTGTGCTCCCCCGAGCTGTAACTCCAGCTTCACCTTCTTAATGATAAGGAAACAAGAAAAGGAAAGACATAAGGTGAATTTATTATTCACTTTTGAGTGGGGAATGATTAATAAAACCAAACCAAGCCCAGGCTGTGGTATATTAGCAATTGTCATTCATTTTGGTCTTTTAAATCTGCTCAGTAAGTGAGATCAAGAAGAGTTTGAGCACATGCTTGTAGGGTGGGAGTATCTGTGAGAAGGCTGGTGTGGGAAGTTGGCTTTTAGCATAGTAATTTTTCATTCCAGAGATAAAAAGTCTTACACTAATAATTCTGCTGCTTTTCTGTTTAAGTATTGAAGGAAAACAAATATACCCAACATGGTCACATTAAGAGATAAGAAATTGTGGATTGTTGAGAAAAATGAAACCAAAGAGAGCCAAATTGCCTGATGTTAGGATTCTAGCATCAAAATTTTTTCAATGAACTACACTAAATTAGGGTGTCTGGTTCCAGTAGTGGAGCTCTTACCTAGCATGTGTAAGGCCCCAAGTTCAAGACTTCATACCACAGGAAAACAAACAACAAAAACTAAAAATACGGTGAATTAGTTGGGTTATTTAAACATAGGTTAGGTGTATGTAGATAATAAAACTAGGTCCCCACCATGGCAAAAAACCAAAAACAAACAAAACAAACCAGTAGTCTATTTTGAATTACTCAGGGTTGTTTAAACATTGCTTAGGTGCTTGTCAATACCCAAATTAGGTAATTGTTTTACTGTAGGCCCAAGCAGAATCACATACTTCACTTGTTACTGCTTTGGGTATGGTAACCTGTAATTTAAAATTATATAAAGGCTGTACGGTGTGATAACCAACTGTCCCTTTCATTTTCTCTGAGGGCAAATGAAGAAATGAATTTAAACTGTTTGATCATTCCAGGCCTTTATGATTAAACATTTTAAAACATTGAAATGATTATGGACTCTTCCCTGAAACTTTTCCCAGAAGACAAAAGATAATCGAGATTGGGCCTGCATTTTGGAGTAATGATTTAGGCTGCCTACAGGGTTTATTCAGCATATGCTGAAACTCTTATTTAGCAATTAGTGGATAAGCTAATAAATTCTATAAGCTAGAACTTTTAGAATTTATCAGATGTAGAATATAAGTTATAAATGAAGTCCTGGTCAGGAGGAGACATAAAAATATTTTATATTCTACTAATGAAGGTGCTTATGATTAATTTCCAAATGGATGATTCAGAGAAAGTCAGAGGGTAGTAGTGATATAGAAGACATCCAGGGGGACCCATTAGAATAAGATTGAAGAGCGTTGAAAAGGCTGCAGTCTGGCAGAAAACAAGATGTGAGTGAAGGAAAGTTTTCTGCAGTTGTAGTTTTTAGTATTTGTTTTGTATCATTGCTTTGATTTTCTTCTTCAGATTCTAGTTATTTAGGTTTATTTCTCTTCAGTCCTTTTTCTTCCTTTGAATGTGTGTATTAGTGTCTTTTTCATTACTGTAACAAAATATCTGAAATTGAGTAATATATAATAAAAAGAGGTTTATTGCACAGTTCTGGAGGTCCAAGAAGATGGTACTAGCGTGGGCTTGACTCTCTGACGACCTTATGGAGGATGGCAGGAATGTGCGTGAGAGCGCTTGGGAGAAAGAGAGACCATATGATGAGACAAGAAGCCAGACAGTAGGAACAGTCCAGTCTCATTCTTATAGAAGACAGTTTACTCTCACAGAACTAACTGGGGTGACATGGTCACGATGTGGCCATAATCCATATGTCTTACTGCTGGGTGGCTCTGAACCACCAGTGGTACATGCACAGTATGACTGTCCCATTGGGCGGCATGGGACTGTCATCTATAAACTGATGGTTCATATTGGCAGGAACGTGTTACCCCTTCCAAGGACAGCACCTCTAATGGTCCCTCACTAGGTTCCTCACCAGGTTTCAACCACTTCTCACATTCCAATCCTAAGCCGGGCTTTAAGCACTTGAACCTTTGAGGGACAGCCCACGACTAAGATTTCTTCCTGTTCATGTTTTACTTTCTCTTAAAACATTATCTGTGATAACTGTTTGTTCTTGGATCCCTTCTGGTTTGGTCGTTTTTCCTGAAGTGATTTTAAATTTTATTCTACTCCTGTTTTAATTGTTGTCACGTCATTTTTAAGATGCATAATTCTGAAAGTTTTGTTTTGTTTTCAAATAGTAGGCTACTGGTATGTTGTTCTAAAAACATGCTCACTTGTTTACTTGTTATGTAGGTGCTTCTTGTAATTTTGGTTTTGGTATCTAGTTGTTCTATCTTTATGTAAAGATTCAGACTTTCAAAAACTATGCCCTTATTGCTGCCATTGTAGAATTTTTTTGTTTTTTTCCAGTTCTGGGGATCGAACTCACGACCTTGTGCTTGCCAGGCAGGCGCTGTGCCACTGAGCTAAATCCCCAGCCCCAACTGGAGAATTTCTTAATTGTTGTCATCCTAATGTATATTTAAAAAAAAAAATTTTTTTTTCTTTAAAAACTCTACAGAGGAAAAGGAATTGGGATACAGAGTGCCCATCCTTTCTAGAAGAGAGGCCACTGCAGTCCAAAAGAATAGGTGTCAGGACAGTGGGAACAGCTGCCTCCCTCTCTGAAGCTTGGCTCAAGTGTGGAGAAGGATTTCAGGGTACTTCCGGGAGTCAGGTAAAGGAGCCGTAAAATTGTTTTCCCTGAATGCAGATAGATAAAACCTAAAATTCCTGAGGCCATTGTAATTATATTTCCTTGGAATTCTGTTTCTTATTTTTTCAGAACACTATAATTGGCATAGTATTTTTTCGCATTCCTTGAATTCTTTTAATAATTGTGGCAAGTTAGTATTTATCTCTTTGTGCCATGTAGAAGAAGCTTTCTACTATTTTAAGTGAAGGATATATACTGAGAATGTTCTCAGGAAATGAAACCATTGAGTATACCACTTTTTTGAAAAGAAATATACTTATGAAATGTTTATATATTCAGAATCTTTTGGCTGTATAATGCTAATTAATTTTTGTAAGTGTGGTAACGTACAACATGGACGAATGCAGCCTTAAAATATGTGGGTACAAGTAGTAATGAGGACCTTATAAGTGGTCAGAGTCATATATATGAACAGTTATTAACAATGAATGTTGATCAGTTTACTTTCTTTAGAATTTGGAAAAATGTAAAAATAAATTTACAGGTATATAAGGAGTATGTGTTTGGGGAATGCTTATATTAGTGAATATAAGTAAAGGAGCTGGGTATGGTAACACATGCCTGTAATTCCAGCATTCAAGAGGCTGAGGCAAGAGGATCACTGTGAGTTTACTATGAGTTCACTATGGACTACATAGTGAACGCAAGGCCAGCCTGAACTACACAGCGAGACCCTGTCTCAAAAAAAGAAAAGAAAAATAAATAAATAAAGGAAACCAGGAATATGTTAAAGAGAATATAGTTTAATACTAAATGTTTTATAAAATATTGTTGGTAAATTACATTATTATTTTACCTGCAGTCATTAACAAAGAAGAAGGCAACTACTACAGGAAAGCACCTTGAATTTTCTCCAAGACCAAAAAAAGGTAATATTACTTTTTTTTTTTTTTTTTTTTTTGGTTTTTTTCCGGTACCAGGAATCGAACTCACGACCTTGTGCTTGCCAGGCAGGCACTGTGCCACTGAGCTAAATCCCCAGCCCCAATATTATTACTTTATTTCTTGACAGAGTTGATATAAGGCTAATACATCCTTCTGTGTGCATGTATGTGTGCATGCATGTATATATTTTATTAGCTTTTTAAGTTACTTACATAATTTGAGAGACCATATTCATATTTAACATAATTTAACATAGTGACATTATCAAAATAATGTAAAAATGTTTTTGAGAATGCTTTCTTTCATCTCTGTTATGATCTACTCCATTCTTCCTGTCCCCTATGGGTAATTATTAACATTTTTTGTGTGTCATTACTGGATTCACTTTTATCATAGAACTCAGTAGGTTAGTTCAGGCTCATAACTCCAGGGCTTGACAAAAAAAGCCCTTGGTTTGACCATTAGCACTGAAGAAAAAATGCATTCAGAAAATGAACTTATGACCTATGCTTTAGGAATTGTATTACTTTAGGCTACAAAATTCTTACCTGGTGAGTTTGTTAGGGAAGCTTTCTAGCTACAAATACTGGGAAACTCTGTCTAAACACTGAGGGTTCAATTTATCTTCTGCGACGAGGCTCCCAGGGAGCCCTGCTTGTTCTGAGCTCTGCAACCTTAGCGTGGTGGTAGCTGTTACTCATTCTGAGTAGCTGAATTCTCCAGGTTGAATTCTCTGGAAGAGATGGGCGCTAAGGACTTTAGCAAGTGAACTTTGCCTTTTTTTGAGAAGTAACCTTTTCTAGGACTTCTATCTTTGACCAGAACCTTTACATAGAGTAACCTCCACTATAAAGGTAGTTTAGTGAAATGAGGGATTTTATACACTGGTATGTTGCTGCCAATGAAATTTGGGTTAGTAGGAGTGGAAAAAATTGTGCACTGTCAGTCAAATACCCTGTGGATGTGAAGGAAGAGTGGGGACTTGTGGCTGATGGTTCTCACTGCGTCCTGACTCTCATCTTGGGGAAACAGGCTAACCACTCTGAGCCTCAGTTTCTGTATCTGGATGGGCATAGTAGCATGTGCTTCACTGATTACTGTGAACATGACAACAAAGTGGTGCAAGTTAGTAGGTGTTTAATTGATGGCGGCAGTTGCTGTTACCTCTGTCAGCCAAAAGAACTGCAGAATGGGAGAGCCTGCCCAAAGTTCTTCTGTGGAGCAAATAGCTTTCCAAAGTTAAGAAACTAAACATTCTAAGCTATATTATCATTTCACTAACAATTAAGAGGATTCTCTTCTATGCAAATGAATAAAATACCCCAAAATGTTTCTTGAAAATTTATAAAACACCGCCTTGTAGAATAAACTGCACACATCTTTTTGTAATATGATAATCTTCTGATGGAACTGCAAAGTTTTATTCTTTTTAGAAGTGCCAATACTGTGATAGTCAAAGATCAGTTTAATTCTGATTTTATTTTATTTTTATTTATTTAAAAAAAAATTTTTTTTTTTTCCAGTGCCGGGAATTGAACTCATGACCTTGTGCTTGCCAGGCAGGCGCTGTGCCGCTGAACTAAATCCCCAGCCCCTAATTTTAAAAAGTTAGATTTTAACATATGAGGAAATTGTCTTTTCCTTAAACAAATTGGCTTGTATCTTTTTCTAGAGATGGATTGATTGATTGATTGATTGATTGATTGATTTTTGTTTTTTTTCCGGTACCGGGAATTGAACTCATGACCTTGCGCTTGCCAGGCAGGTGCTGTGCTGCTGAGCTAAATCCCCAGCCCCTTTTTCTAGAGATTTAAAAAACATAGTAAGTTCAGCTTTGAGAGAGGAGGACATTCTAAATAAGTTATTTTCTTGTATTTAGCTACAAAAGGGTCTTTTGGGATGATTTCCCCATACAAGTCCACAGCTGACACACACTGCTATACTTTCAACTATACAATGATCTGTTTATTTTCAATAACTGACAGAGCTTGTACCAACATCTCATTGCTTCATAGCATATGCAGAAAATATTGTTAATTATTTAATAAAGGGCTACCAGTAGGGAAAAGGAGGTATTGTATTTCTAGAGCTGGTTCACATTTGGAACAGTAGCTTCTTGAGCCAGGCTTTGTGGCACATGCTTGTAATCCGAGCACCCAAGAGGCTGAGGCAGGAGGAGGCCAGCCAGGGCTACATAATGAGTTCATGGCCAGCCTGAACTAGATAGCCAGACAAAGAAACAAACCAACCAACCCCCTAAATAAAAAACAAAACAAAACAAAAAGAACAGTAGCTCCTAAAGTATTTAAGATAGGCTATTGATAAAAATTCCAAGATAAAAGTTTTATATCACATTTAAAGTGAGGAAGTGCTATTTTTATGAGAACCAGGGAGCAGAATTGGGGACTCTGCTTTTGTAAAGTTTGCAGAAGGTCAAATGCTTGTCTCCATGTCTTTGTTTCCTCATCTGTAAGGTCCTGATAAGAGAAAGCTGAGAAGGGGAGTTAATAAGGGAGATGGAAAGGGATAAGAGAAGCTAGCACATGAATGTTGGCAAAGGATCTTGCCAGAGGCTCAAGGAAGACAGAGATAAATACTTAAGATGAAGAGAGTCTGGAACATTTGTAGATAGTGATTTTCTTTAAAAGCAGGACTTTCAAAAAGGAAAAAAATATATTTACCAAGGAAATGGAAAGAAAAAAAGGAATTTGTGTTTGTTTGCCCCCCCACCCCAATACCCTGCAAAGTTTTTTCTCAAAAATCTTCGTTGATTTAGGTCAGAAATCTCCTGTCCCTTGAAGGCATTACTAGGGTTTTATTATTTGTTGGTCTTTTCTTCCCATTGGATCATTGTCTTCTTAAGCGCAGACCCCTTTTGCCCATCTTTATATCCCAAATGTGTTTGCTTCCACGGGCTGCTATAATAAAGTGCACAGATTGGGTGGCTTACTTAGTAAAAACTTACTGTCTGTCTTGGAGACCAAAATGAGGGCATTGTCAGGGTTGATTCCTTTTGAGGGCTACGAGGAAAGGATCTGTTCCAGACTTGTGCCTTGGCTTGTCATTGGCTTTTCACATTGCCTTCCCTCTGCGCGTGTTGGTCTTTGTGTCCCACTTTCCTATTTTATGAGAACACCAAACATCTTGGATTAAGTCCTATCCTAAAAACTTCAGTTTAACTTTTTATTTATTTATTTATTTTTTGTTTTTTTTTCCGGTTCTGGGAATCGAACTCACGACCTTGCGCTTGCCAGGCAGGCGCTGTGCCGCTGAGCTAAATCCCCAGCCCCCCAACTTCAGTTAAACTTGATTATCTCCATAAAGACCTGATTTCCAAATATAGTCCCATGCTGAGGTATGAATGAATTCAACAAATGAATTTTTGGGAGCACACAATTCAGCCTATGACACCAGGTGCTAGCACAGTGCCAGGCACCCATCAAGTACTTGAAAATGTTTATAAATGCATGATAACTGTTTTCATAGTCAGACTGATGTCCTTTGTAGAATTACACTGATGGGCCTTGATGCCAAGAGCACTTATTTTCAGAAAGCAAGTAAAATGAGTTGCTGCCTGATAAATTTATGGTAGTGGTTTTAACTAAATTGTGCAGTTGAGTGCTTTTCTTATTAGGTCCTGGTCTCTGAGAATTTGAATGACATAGCTATTAATTATCGTATCTCTTAACAGATGGTACAGAAGTACCCGACAGTTAGGAGTTTCCTAGGAGTCTCGTACTAAGCTAATGGTGAGACGGCAGGTCTTCAGTTGCCTTAGGATCTTTGCGTAATGGGTTAGAACATGGTGTCAGAAGGTAGACTGCCCGAGTGTGAATCTAAACCACACCTGCTGGGCAAACAAAGGAAGCATTGTGATGACTTACAAGCTAGTAGCTGTAAAAGTTGACACAGTCACCTAAATAAAAAGGGAAAAAAAGTGTGGTCAAAATTAAAAAATTCTGTACACAATGTATAGAATAAACAGACAGTTTACAGCACAGAAAAGGCTGATGTTTGTGACAAAGAACAATTAGAAACTAATACAGGGGGAGAAGATAACCGTTACAGAAATAAAGATTTTTAATAGACTGCAGAAAAGCAAATGTAAATGATTTTCAAACACATGAAAAGATGCTCAGCCTCACAGTAGAAAGGCATGATTGAACTGCAGAGATCATCAACTCTAAGAATATGTCTTTCTGTTTATTCTAGTCTTCTTTTTTATGGTCCTGTGAGGTCTTTAAAAGAGTTTCTTCGTTTAGGTTTACATGTCTTAGTTTCTTCTAGATATTTTATGTTTTTTAGTTATTGTTTTAAATTTTGTTTCTGTATGTTTCGAATCTTGTTATTTTTATTCAAGTTTCTTATTATTGGTAGTAGTTTCAGTTGACTTCTTTAATTTTCCATGAATTAATTGTGTACTCTACAGATTGTGATAACTCTTTATTTGATAAAACTGTGTATGAATCAGCTTTGTCTCTAAATAAAAAGTTTATTAAGTACAGAAGTTTGTTGTTAAGTATTTAAAGCACTCACTACTACCAGGGCTCCTAGCACGGCTGGGGAAGCGTACAGTGTTTCTGGTATTCATATGTGTTGGTTTTGTGGTTTGCTTAGTGGTTTTTTTTTTTTTTTTTTTCTTTCAGTTTCATTAAATATTCTAGGAAATTATAGTTCTGTAGTAGTCTTATTTTTCCAGTTCTCTTGTTCTCCAGTCATTTTTTTTCCTTTTATAACTTAATTAGTTCTACTTCCTTTTCCTCCTGTAATTTGGCTTTAATTCAGAGAATTGTTGCCAGATTGTATGTGGAAGATTAGACAGGAAGATTGCACATGTGACATTGTTTACACCATCTTCAGAGTTATATATTTTTATGACTTTGGCAAATAAGCATAAAATCTCATTCTGATAAATGGCCATATCCACTGATGATAATTTATGTGTTTTCTTTTTCTCTAACAGAAGCTATCACGTATAAGAGTACCGCTGAGTTTACAGATATAACATGGAGTTCCAGTGGAAGTGATCTGTCAGATGAAGATAAGATACTTTCTGAATCACAGAAAGATAATGGACATGGCTCTAGAATAGACAGGATTTGTAACAGGAATATTTTAGGTCCAGAAGATGGGGCCAGTGAAGGTAAATTACTAATTTTGTAAGAAATCTAGTTTTGGTTAAATAGTGGGTTCAGTATTGGAAGAAACTTACATTCCTTTTATGTATTTGTAATTGATTGTGAATTTTTTGAGTCCCAGCCTCATTGCCACACCCTTTAGAAAAATTTTCTCAGTTAATATTTTTCACAGCAACTCTAACAGAGAGGCATTACTGATATTATTTTTACTCTTAACAGCTTAGGCTGAGACTTGTTAGAATTGGTTGGAATTCATTTTCGGTCTCTTTGGTGCTAAAGCCAGTTCTTGCAGTTCCCTTGCAGTGCTACATGCAGGCTACCTTCTTCCAAACTTGTTATTAAATACTGTGACAACCAGCAGTGTGGTGGAAGTTTAACTTATTAACAAGTTCTTCCGCAGATGACACTTTATATTGTATCGTGTTTTACACAGTTTAAAACGGGATTTCTCAACCTTAATATCTTGTGTTTGCTGTGGGGAGAACTTTCCTTCGGATCCTATTTGAGATGTTTTGCAGCAATCCTGGCCTCTGCCTGCTGGATCATAATAGCACCCCCAGCTCTAGTGTTAACACCCCAGAATGTTTCTAGATGTTTCAGAGGTCCCCTGAAGGACAGAAGTCACCTCCAGTTGGTAACTGTACATGTATTATTTTTTGCCCGCTTCTTTTTTTTTGTTTTTTTTCGGTACCGGGAACCGAACTCACGACCTTGCGCTAGCCAGGCAGGCGCTTTTGCCGCTGAGCTAAATCCCCAGCCCCTGTACATGTATTATTATGGGAAGCATATTCTTTTCTAAATTTTAAAAATACTTGGAGTATTTCAAAATTTAATGCTTTCAAAATAAATTTGTAACTTTTAATGCTGATTGTTCATGATAGTTAGGTTAGATTTGGACAGATAGCCTCTCAGGAAAGCGGTTAAATTGTTTTGACCACTTTGTATCCATTTTGGTAACTGCCATTGACATTTTAGTAGGCATTCTCAGTTTGTACATAAGCTGATAATGCTTATATTATTGTTTCAACCATGTAAATTGAAATACATTGTAGTGTGACTCTTGGTGTGTCTTCATACATCTCAGAACACAATTTCAATATTAAAAATTGTATGCTTTTAAAAAATAGTATGGTATGTGAATTATTTCTCAATAAAGCTTGTATTAAAAACTATGTTGTCCCTGTCTATTAATAAATATTCTGCAGTTTCCAAAGCTGATTTTAAATGAAAAGATGCTTTGGCCTAATTACCTTAACATGAATTAACAAATTGACTTCTCTTTCAAAGTTGATTCTTAGAGAACAAGTGGATGATCCCTTGGAATATATGTAATCATGATTACAGCTTCTGGATTAGTTTTCCCTCCCTTCTCCTGCTCTGCTTCTCTCTACTCCTCTACCAACTTCTTTCTTCCTTTTTACATTTAATGGGTGACAAATGTTTCCATTTATCAAGGTGTGTGTGTGTTTGAGACAGGGTCTCGCTATGCAGTTCTGGCTGGCCTTGAACTCACTTTGTAGCCCAGGTTGGTCTCAAACTCTCAACGATCCTCCTGCCTCAGCCTCCCAAGTGCTGAGATTACAGGCGTTCACCACCACACCTGGCTTCAAGATTTTATTTTATCCCAGATACTTGGCTGTTTTTTTTTTTTGGTACCATGAATTGAACTTAAGACCTTGTACTTGCCAGGCAGGTGCTGTGCCACTGAGCCATCTCCCCGGCCCTTGGCTGGTTTTATGTATATTATTTCCTTTGAAATGTATTATGGCTTCTGAGCTAAATATCCTCATTTTACAGAAGAAAATGGAGATTAGAGCAGTCAGGTTACCTGCTTAGTCACATACTTGATGAATGTGCCAGTTGATACTAAAATCCGAGGGTGTCTAATCTCAGTGCTGTGTGCTGGTTGCCAAACCAGTTTTATCACGGAGTTCTTTTTAAAAACAATATTTTTAGACTTGCAGAATTAGAGTCTCGTGGCTGTAAGACCCAGAATTAGGGTTATGAAGGAAAGTCCTAAGTCAAGGTTGTCAGAATTCTTTTCTGTTAAGTATTTTACACCTCCCCCCCCATTTGATTTTTATATAACTTTGGTAAAATCTCTTAACTTACTGGAGACCTCATTTCCTCATCTGTAAAATGTACATTTCAATCTAATAATAGTTGTCTTCTTGCTTCGTAAAAGTATTATAACCAGATGAGATCCTCATCTTGTCCGTGGTATATAATTTCGAAACACTACTACATTGTGATGTTATTTATCTGTGGGTTGTTTTTCTGCAAGCTAGGAATGGTGCTGCTTCCTCTTCTGTATTTGTCTATCTTGTAATATGTGTCTAGATTGGTAGAGTGGGCCCTTGGTAGGCACTTTACTGGATGGATGAAAGAATGAGTGCCACACAGTGTGCCGTGCGGCAGCATCTCTGAGGGCACATGTACTCCTCCTTTGACTCTCCTTGGCTTCATGCTGTCATGCTTCAGCAAATGGAGTCTTTCTCATGCATTCCCCTGCCTGGTTCCATGACTGAATGTGAAGTTAGATGTGAGAAGTAAATGCAGTTACGCATCTGCTTCTCATTAGTAGTCTGACCTCCAATTTTTTATAATCATTATAGAGAACTTTCATTATGTCCCTGGAACAGCAATATCAGACAAAAGAACCTACATTCTTTTATCCATATTTTAGCTTTAGCTTAATTTTTCTTTTTAAAAGAGTTTAAATTCCTTTCAAATCAAATATTAGTACTTTTTTTTTCTTTTTACTATTTAACTTCACTGCAAGTAAAATTATTACTATCAGACCTCTGAAAGTAGGACCATCATATCTCAGCCTTCTAAACTGCAGAAGTAGGTGTTAGGGAGTACTTGCGCTTTGTATTCTAGGAAAGGTTTATGTTCTGTACTATATACCTCAGAGACTAATAACTAATTTCATTTATTTGGGTATAGCAAATTAGAATCAGTACATTTGGTTATTTAATATATGAAAATAATTTAGCTTTACTGAGTTAAGTTTTTATAAAACTTCAGTGATTTTCTTACTGATGAAAGTACTCTGTAAAAAATTTATTGAGTGAAAACATTTGGAAAAATAATTTCTAATAGAAGACTGAATATAAACTATGGTTCAACTATCCAATGGAATATTAACTTATAGAAAAGAATGATAATATAGTGATGAGGAAAACTTGATTATCTTAGATGAAAAAAATCAGGGTGTATAAGAAAAGGGGAAAAGTAAATCTTATTTTTAAAAACATACTGGAGAAGCCATAAGGATTAAAAAAACCAGTAAAGGTGGTTAATTTAGAACTCAGGTCTGAGTGAGTTGGGAGAAACGAGATGTGAGAAGGGATATATTTTTTGCTGTCATATTTTAAAAAATCACCCGGTAACATAGATAAGGTAACTACTGAGGATAAAATACAGATTTTAAAAAAGAAATACTAGGTATAAATTCAGTTACAAATTGTGTTTTGTAGATGAATTACAATCTATTGACTGGGAGATCAACAGTGACAGGGAAGACGCTAGTGGCTGTAATGAAGGTGAGGACGGTGAGGGTGCTGCAGAAATCTCGGATTGTGCTTCTTGTGCAAGTACTCATTCATTGACAAGTGAGGAGAAGCTACCTGAGCTTCCTGAGGTAAGACCTAATTATTTAAAAAGCTCTTATTGTCTGTGACATTCTTTAATCCTGGCCATTTGGTGTTCTGCATCTGCTCCCCACCCCCTTCTCAGGGACAACCGCTTTTGTCTCTCAGTGTATCTTTTTGTTTTTTACCCCCGTAGCTCTAAATAACATGCTTGTGCTGTATTTATAAACATGGGTAAATACTGAGCTCTTATGCCACCCACTCTCCAGCCCCAATTATGTGCTGAACTTGGACTTCTATTCTTCCAGGACAGATATATCAAAGTTTGTTTGGAGGAAGCATTGCATAATTGTGAATCAGTAATATTGATAACCAAGACCAACTTTTTTTTTTTTTTTTTGGTCTTTTTGAGATAGTGTCTCGCTATGCAGTCAGGCTGGCCTTGAGCTCACTTCATAGCCCAGGCTGGCCTCGAACTCACAGCAATCCTCCTGCCGCAGCCTCCTGAGTGCTGGCATTATAGGCCCAAGCCCAACTATTAATTACTTTTTCTTTTCCTTAGTGATTATTTTGGTTTTTCGTTTCTAGTTTTATTGACTGCTTATAGAGTTGTAGTTTTTTACCATTGTTTAACTCTGTCATGACACTTCTCAAAGTAGGCATTCTGGCAGTTTCATCTTGGAGAACTCCCGCCCTTAACCATGTTGCCCCTCCAATTTGAAGTCAGTGTCCTCTTTGCTTTGTAGATGTTATCACCATCAATTTATGAATTTGTTGACCTTTCCTCTGCATAGAGTTCCATTTTGTTTTGCTTCATGTTTTCCCTTTCTTGGTTTTCATGCTCACTTTGGCTGAACACATCTTCCAATAGCTTCTGACAAATGACTTCTAGAAGGTAATTTTTTGAGACTTTGCATGTCTTCAGATGCTTTTACCATATACTGATATGTGATGGAAAATATGTATAGAGGGGCTGGGGATTTAGCTCAGCAGCAAAAGCGCCTGCCTGGCAAGCGCAAGGTCGTGAGTTCGGTTCCCGGTACCGGAGAAAAACCAAAAAAAAAAAAAAAAAGTATAGAATTTTAGGTTGAGAATAATTTTCCTTCAAGGCTTTAAAAGCATCGCTTCATTGTCTTTTAGCTCAAGAGTTACTGCTAATAAACCCGAAGCTATTCTTATTTGTAATCTTTTTAAGACTTAATTGCTGGTATTCAGCAATGTGATTGTGGTATGCCTTGATACGGTTTTCTGCTTGTTATCTGTCAGACTTCCTACATCTGGTATATTGGGGCTCTTCAAAACCAGTAAGACTAACGTTTGTTTTCTCTTGCCTTTCTCGTTTCTTTGTTTCCTTTTGTAGTGCTGAGGATCCAACCTGGGCCTCATGCATGGTAGGTAAATTCTTTACCACTGAGGCACATCCCTAAGCCCATCTTTAATCTTTTTTTTTTTTGTCTTTTTGAGGTAGGGTCTCACTGCACAGTTCAGGCTGGCCTTGAGCTCACTTTGTAGCTGAGGCTGGCCTTGAACTCACAAGGATCCTCCTGCCTCAGCCTCCTGAGTGCTGGGATGACTGCCGTGTGCCACCATGCCCTGCCCATCTTTAATCTTTCTTGTAAATGTGCATTCTAGCAAGTGTGATATCTTACTGTGGTTTTAATTTGCATTTCCCTGATGATTAATGATGATGAGTTTTTTTAATGTCTGTTGGCCATTTATATATTTTACAATATGGAGGTTTCTAAAAAAGAAACAGAAAATAGGTCTACCATATGACCCAGCAATCCCACTTCTGCTCATGTATCCAAACGAATTGAAATCAGTAGTACACTGAAGAGGTGTCTGCAGTCCCATATTCGTTGCAGCATTTTTCACCATAGTTAAGATACGGAAGCACCCTGTGCATCCAACTTCGAATGAATGGATAAATAAAATATGGTATATACGCATAATGGCATACTATTCAGCCTTAAAAAAGAAGAAAATTCTGCCATTTATCACATTAATGAGCCTAGAGGGCATTATACTCAGTAAAATAAACCAGATACAAAAAGGCAAATGCAGTTTCACTATTCCTTATCTGAAATGCTTGAGATAGAAGTATTTTGGACTTTCTTTGATTTTGGAATATTTGTATGTGCATACTGAGCTATCTTGTGGATAGGACTAAAGTCTAAACATTAAGTTGACTTATGTTTCGTATATACCATATGCTTTAGCCTGAAAGTAACTTTATGTAGTATTTGTAGTGCACAGTATTTACAGTGCATGTGTTGTTTGACTACAATCCATTGCATGAGACTAGGTATGGAATTTTCCATTTGTGTTGTGTTGGTCCTGAAAGAGTTTTAGATTTTCGTATTACAGACAATGAACCTGTATTCCTCTCCTTTCCCTCTTTACCTTTTCTTCATTTTTATTTTTGCTTTGTTTTCGGTACTGAGGATAGAACCCAGGGATGCTCTACCACTGAGCTCCAGGCCCACCCTTTTAAAAATTTTGAGACAGGGTCTCTCACTGAGTTGCCCAAACTGGCCTGAACTAGTGACATGCTTGCCTCTGCCTCCTTAGTAGCTGGATTTATGGGTGTGTACCACTGTGCCTGGCTTTTCTGTTACCTTTCTAGTCTCTCTTTCTTTCTTTCTATCCTAATTTTTATTATTTTCTCAAGTAAACAGCTAACAGTACACTTAGGGAACTAAAAAAATGATTAAAGTAAGCTCCAAGTTCCTTGGGTATTGTGTTAGGTTGTTTATTTGGTTTTTGGGGGGAGGTGCTTCGGACCAAACCAATGTTTGGTACACGCTAGGCAGATGTCCTACTGCTGAGCTACATCCCCAGCTGTCTTTCTCCTTTTTCACTATAGGCATTTATTGCTACCAACTTCCCTCTTAGGACTCTTTGTACTGCATACTGTAAGTTTTGATATGTTTCCATTTTGTTTGTCTCAAGATATTTTATTTCCTTTTTAAAACTTTCTTTGACCTATTAGTTATTCAGGAATCAGCTATTTAATTGCCACATATTTGTGACTTTTCTTTGGCTCTTCCTATTATTGATTTGTAATTTCATCCTATTGTGATCATAAAAGATACTAGATATGATTTTAATTTTTTAAAAATTTGTTAAAAGTTTTGTGGACTAATGAGCTATTCTGGAGGATCTTTTGTGTGTACTTGAGAAGAATGTTTTTCTGTTGTTTTTATATGGAATGTTCTGTAAAAGGGGTGATCAAAATATATGAAGAATATTTAAAGAGAAAAATATTACGTAAAAGACACATTGCCATTTATCCTCCTTGCTTTGAACAGTTATTCCATAATTCTTGCCACTTTTTTTTTTTTGTCTTGTTGAGACATGGTTTTGCTATGCAGTTCAGGCTGGCCTTGAACTCACTTTGTAGCCCAGGCTGGCCTCGATGTCACAGTGATCCTCCTGCCTCTGCCTCCCCAGTGCTGGGATTACAGACGCGGACCACCATGTCTGGCTATGCTTGCCACTTTGTGAAGCAGTTGTGGAAGTCTTCTTTTGTGAGTATCTTTATGAGCTGTGATCAAGGATTTGGTGACTGCACCTGCCAGTTGTTATTCAGTGGAAAGGCAGGCTCATAAAAACATTATATTTTTTAAAAATTTTTTTAATTTTTTAATTTTTTCATAAAAAACATTGTAGTGTTTCTTCATATACCTTATCATCAGATCTGGTATCGAGTACATTTTCCCCAAAGTCAAAATGACCACAAAGCCCAGTGTGGAGGCATGAACCTATAATCCCAGCACTTGGAATGATAAGGCGGGAGGGTGGTTATGAGTTTGAGGCCAGCCTGGGCTACGTCGCGAGACCTTGTCTTAAAAAAAAAAAATGACCATGAAAAGTAAATGTTTTGAGTCAGTTCAGGACGTCTTGACAGCCACAACAGGGCAGTTAAAGACGTAAAAGGGAACTTCTAGAACTGCTTCAGAAAGTAGCGAGAACAGTGGGACAAGTGTGTTCAAAGTGAAGGAGAGAGACTGAGGAGGACTGATGACGTGTCTTTTACTCCAAAATTTTTTAAAATTTAAATATTCACAGTACTGTTATATCACACCTCATGTATGTCATTTGTTCTGAAGCACTGTTCTATTCCAGTTTTCCCTTGTTAATTTTCTACCTGGGTGATCTGTATATTGTTGAAAGTGGGAAATTAAAATATCCTTCCCATTGTATTGAAATCTCCCTTTAAATTTGTTAGTATTTTCTTTATATATTTAGGTGCTATGATGTTAAATGCATATGTATTTAAAATGGCTTTTTTTATTTTTGACTTAAAGAGTATTTATTTATTTATTTATTTACGTATTCTTTTGGTACTGGAAATCAAACTCAGGACTTTGCGCTTGCCAGGCAGGTGCTTATGCCACTGAGCTATATCCCTGGCCCCTTAAATGTATTTAATCTTGTACAAGTTTAGCTATCTCTGCTTGCTTTTGGTTTCTATTTGCAAAGAATATCTTTTTCATCTCTTCACTTTCAGGCTGAGAATGTCCCCTTAAGGGTATAGTGATTCTCTTGGTGTAGCAAATGGGTGGGGGTCTTGCTTCCTTAAATTTATTTAGCCACTCTATCTTTTGATTGAAAATTTTAATTAATTTAAATTTAAAGTAACAGTTGTACATGTGATGCATTCCTGCAATCCCAGCATTCTAGGGTGTTGAGGCAGGAAGTTTCCCAAGTTTGAACCCAGCCTAGACAATCAGTGAATCAGCAAGGTCCTGTCTCAAAATAAAACAAAACAAAACAAAACAAAACAAAACAAAACAAAACAAAACAAAAAAAGATATAGCTCAATTTAAGGCCCTGTTGTCAATCCCTGTAGTGCAAAAATAAAGAAGCAAGTAAATAATAAATAAATAAATGAATTCAAGGTAACAGTGCAAGATAAGGATTTACTGCAGACATTTGGGCCGTTGTTCTCAGGTTGTTTAGTAAATCCTTTGGTCTTTTCTTCCCCTCTCTTACCATAGTAGTATGCTTTACTTTTTACTTTTTGTAGTAATTTTGTATATAGGAA